CGGGGCGCTGCGGAGAGGTCGCTGGCCGGCCTGGTGGCGCGGATGCGGCTCCCGGCCCTCTCGCGCCCGCCGGGAGCAGTGCGGAGGACCCCTGGGTTGTTGCGGGATGAACCGAATCCGGAGGGAGGCGCAGTCTGGGCGCCCGGGCAGCCCTCTCCTCTTGGGGCAAAGAGGGCGCTGCCTCAGCCGTGCTCCCGTTCCCTCGTCCTGTGCAAGAGGAGCAAACAGGTGGCCTCGCCGCGAAGAGACCGGGTTAAGCCGGTGGTAAGGCAATCAACCCTTAAGGCAACAGAATAATATGACTTGAAACTTTTGCTTCGTTAGTTAAAAATATGTCCAACGCACCTGCCATCTACGAGAATCCTCCAGTGTTACTCCAAGTGGCCCTATGTGAGTCCCTATATCTAAAGGAGTGGTATTTGTGCTGGCCAGAACTTTGACCCTGGAGAAATTGATTTGCAAGCGAAGAAAAGTTAGGGCTTTCATTTAAAACCCATTTGCTTTTTGTGGAAAAGCAATTGTGGAAATTTGGTGCTCGATCGTTTTAGAGTGACGTGCTCAGCTGCTTTCCCCAGAGGTGGGTACAGATTGTGAAATGTTATTGATCAACTGGACTCAACCAGTGGCATCTACTTTGACTGTTTTCTTTAAGATTAAATAATAGACTTTTTTCCTCACTTGAATTGTTATAATGCCAAAGGTGAGTTTTAAAACATGTATCAGGGGCCGGCCCGGTGGCGCAGGCGGTTAAGTGCGCGCGCTCCGCTGCGGCGGCCCGGGGTTCGCCGCTTCGGATCCTGGGCGCGCACCGAGGCACCGCTTGTCAGGCCATGCTGTGGCGGCGTCCCATATAAAATGGAGGAAGATGGGCACGGATGTTAGCCCAGGGCCAGTCTTCCTCAGCAAAAAGAGGAGGATTGGCAGATGTTAGCTCAGAGCCGCTTCCTCACACACACACAAAAAAACAAACGTATCAAATTAATATCTTATGATTCGCTCCAGCGAGTTTCTAATGCTGATTTTTCTGACATATAAATAGGTATTGTTAGGCTTAGTATCAGACAAATCAAGAGGGGAGCCCCTGGAATGATTCTATACTAGTAAATTAGCTCAGTCAGTACAATTAGTAATTAGTATTTATTGGATGTCTGCTCCAGGCATAGCCCTATTCTAAACATTGAGGAAAGAAATATGGAAATTGTCTGGCCTCCTAGGCACCTTTAATCTAAAATAGAAGAAATATTCACGTCAATGGGTTTTTAAAGAATAGTTATTGAATTTCTATGTACATTAAATACCAAATTACATAAATTATAGAAATATGAACATCCCTTAGAAAGCTTCTTTGTTACTTTCCTAATAGTTATTGTCTTGAAGGGTATTTTTTTTCCCATCAGCAAGGTCCTGCAATATTTTTTCCCTCTAACTGCACTACCCACTGTCTGCTGATACTTCCTGATCAGAATTACTCACTGGGTCTCCAACTGTTTCAAGCATAGTTAGAGGCACATTAAAGGATGGCCTTGTATTTAACAAATGAAAACAAAGATACCAAGTGAGGTACATTAAAAACAGAGGGAATCGATGGAGATGGTTTCCATAAGATTGTTTTTTTAGTGGCAACCTTCTGCCTTTCTTTAAAAACGTTTATAAACATTAACAAAAATCATATTCCCTAAATACCATTTCTAATGAAATTTTTACCCTGAAAATTAACATTTTTTTATAAGCACTGCCACTGAGGCATCAGCACTTTTATGGTCAATTACCAGAATAAGGTCTCTGGATTTGTTCTGTGATATATTTACTTGTAAAATGGAGGCAGTGCCTTTCAGCCAGTTGCCCAAAGGTAATACAAGGAAGCTTTAAAATTGCCAACATTATATGAACAGAGTAGGTAGTTGGCAGGGGCGGTTATAAGTAGAAATGCAAGGAAAAGGAGGAATAAACTAAAAGAGGGGGGATATGTCCCCCTAACAGAATTTATTAGCATAAAATGGTTCAACAGCAAACCTATGAGCATTCACAGCCAGGAACTGTAACAGCATCCATGTTTCTAACCCAGTAAGGGACCCATTTTCACCTTGGACCCAACCTGAGAATTGCTTTCCACCAAAATGCCAGGGAATTTTTTTTTAATTCTCCCATTTCTGGGGCAGTAGCAGAACAGAGAAGCAGATGAGTGAGATACACAGTGCAAAGACTGAACACGACAGGGCTACAGAAATATGCAGTCACTTACCAAGGGTAACATTTGGCAATGGTAATGGGAAAAAAGCAAATTTCTTTAAGTGCACTTGATGAAGGTTCTACATTTGTTATTCAAACTTTGGAGGAGATTCTGGATCAAGGTGGAAAGGTACATAAGCAAGTGTCCTTATCCCACTCCTAACTTCCAGAAGCAGGACTGTGGAGTTGCTGAAATCCTGCAATATCTCGGTAAATCCCTCAAATATAGGGAAAAGCAAATAGAATTGAGGCCCTTACCTTTCTTTTCTGACTGAAGAGCAATGGAACAACTTTTGGAGAGAAAATAGGAGAATATGAACACTGAGCTGATTCTCTGAGATGAAAGGGAAGGCTTGAGGGCTCCACACTGTATTGAGAAACTATCCAAAGCCCAAAGGTACCTCACAAGGGAAGAATAGACAGACCCCAAATAGTCACATGTCTGTGGTAAAGAATCTTTAATACCATCTCAGAAGAACAAGCAGATGCTAAAATGAGGGATATTAATGGAGAGTACCGTCTACCACAGCTAGTGTTGTCCCAACCTTCACAGTCTCTCGCTGGAGAAAGGATACATCTCAAACTCCTCAAGCTGTAAACTGTAGCAGAGTCAGGAAAACAAATGGGCTTCTGCTATAATGGGAAACACAAAGCAATCACCCTCAGTAGACTCAGGCGTGGACAGGAGGCAGAGAAACAGCATGGCAACTGCAAACATACAACAGCCAAACAAAACAAGATTAAACAAAGGGGAGAAATGATACAGCATGTAGAAGATGTAAAGACAAAGAATGCAGCTGAGAAGAAAACAAAACTCATGGAACAGAAGAAAGTTCCTCACAAATGTTTTATGCTACAGAACAACTTAATGAAAACATGAATTCAATGAGACAAAAACCAAGACAATAAAATAATAGAATTGAAAAAGTAGTTACAGATCTAAGGAAATTGAGGACAATCATTGTTGTGGAATTAATTAGAAAGAACCATGTACAAAATAGACACTGTTGAAAATTTAATTACTGACGTGAAGAATGGCACAAGAATGAATGCAAAATAAAAAACGAGGATGAAAGCTACTAGAGAAGACAAAGATGATCTAGCATAAGAATAATTTTAGGGTGCCTGAGGTAGAGAACCCAACAAATTAGAGGATATAGTCAAAGATATAAGCATATTTCTCCCCCAGAGTTAAGCTCTTATATTTATGTCCAATTGATTTTCTTTTTTTTTTTGTGAGGAAGATCAGCCCTGAGCTAACGTCCATGCCAATCCTCCTCTCTTTGCTGAGGAAGACTGGCCCTGAGCTAACATCCGTGCCCATCTTCCTCCACTTTATGTGGGACGCCGCCACAGCATGGCCTGACAAGCGATGCATCGGTGTGCGCCCAGGATCCGAACCCCGGCCGCCAGCAGCAGAGGGCACGCACTTAACTGCTATGCCACAGGGCCGGCCCCCCAATTGATTTTCAACAAGGGTGCCAAGGCAATTCAATGGGATAAAGAAAAGTCTTTTTAACAAATGAGACTAGGACAACTGAACATCTACATGCAAAAGAAAGAAGTTGGATCTCTATTTCATACTGCATACAAAAATTAACTCAAAATAGATCCAAGAGCTAAATGTAAGAGGAAAAATTATAAGCATCTTAGAACAAACGATAGGCATAAATCTTCGTGACTTTGAATTAGGTAATTAGATTCCTTAGAAATAACACCAAAAATGGAAGCAACGACAACAACAACAAAAAAGATAAATTAGACTTCACCAAAATTAAAAACTTTTGAGCTTCAAAAGACACTATCAAGAAAGGGAAAAGACAGCCCACAGAATGGAAGAAAATATTTGCAAATCATCTATTTGGTATGGGCCTCGTATCTAGAATATATAAAGAACTCTTACAACTCAATAATAAAAACATCGTTAACCTAATTTAAAAATGGGCAAAGGATTTGAATAGATATTTCTCCAAAGATATACACATGGCCAATAAGCACATGAAAAGATGCTCAACGTCATTAGCCATCAGGGAAATGCAAATCAGGGTGTGAGTGAATACTACCACATACCTACTAGGATGGCTATAATCAAAAAGATAGATAATAACAAGTGTTTCTGAGGATGGGAAAAAATGAAAATCCTCATACACTGCTGGTAGGAATATAAAATAGTTCACCGGCCTTAGAAAACAGTCTGGCAGTTCCTTAAGAGGTTAACCATAGATTTACCATATGACCCAGCAATTCCACAGCAGGTATAAACCCAAGAGTAATGAAAACACATGTCCACACAAAAACCTGGACATGAATGTTCAGAGCACCATTATTCATAGTAGCCAAAAAGTGGAAACAACCCAAATACATCAACTGATGAATGGATAAATAAGGTATGATGTATACATATGCTGGAATATTATTCAGCCATAAAAATGAAGCACTGATATATCCTATGACATGGATGAACCTTTTTTTTTTTTTTTTTTTTAAAGGTTTTATTTATTTACTTT